TGAATCCAAAAACCTCTAATTTACCTCCACTTGTGGGAAGTGATCTCAATCCTAATATCTTAAATCCTAAATCTAATTTTATGTTCAGTAATACGAGTTTTCGGTGTTACTGAGGAACCATCAATGTGAAAAGCTAGGTTACATATACTAACCATGTTCATTAAACCTTAATGAACATTTTCATCCCCATACAGAGGGATGGAAGTTCAAATATGTATGAATGTTTCTTTCATGATTACATTACAGCTGAAAATGGACTAATTTCCTTTCATATTCTTTTTGTCTTTCTCTGAATTATTTCAGTCTCTTTGCCATGCTCTCCTTGTCAACCCCACCCCTTCTCTACCTGAGTCTCCTCCTCTTTCTGTCGTATCACTCCCTTGTTGTCTCCTGTCGGACTGGGAGCCGCAGTCAGTGTGAGTCCGCTCCCTTTGTGCCAGGCCACAACCTGGTGGGGGAGGGCTTTGATGTGGTCACCCTGAAGCGTAAAGGAGCCTACATGATAGATGTGAGGACCTATCTCTCCCCAGAAGGCACCTGTACTCTCTACAATAACCCTCTTCAAGGCGACCAGCTGCAGAAAGTAATTAATAAATAAACAATAATTCTCCAGTGACAGTTGAACATACTTTATGTGTGCATGTTAACCACAGTGTTACCACTTTGATTTTCAGCTGCCGCTCTCTGCAGTGAACTGGCGTGCGTTCAGCCGATGCAATACTGCCATCAAAAGCAGTGTACACACCTCTGTTAGGTATTGTGTTATACAGCATTATATCTCTGAATGGGTTGTATCAGCCATTTTCATATGTTAAGTATAAGCCCTTCCAGTACCTCAATAGTAAATACTTGTGGCAGTCTTTACTAAAGCTCAAAGCAAAACCTCATTGATTTCTCGTATTTTCTAATACAATCAAAGTCAAGGACTCCGATTATCTCATCCAGTCGTTGTCTCTGCAGGAAATCTGGCAGAAAGGGAACTTTAAATGTCGTTGAGTATCTGTTAATTATGCAACAACACTATCTTTGGCTCCTCAAATTCAGCTCACTATTTACTGTCTACAGATCAAATCTTAAGTCCAAAAATGTTGTCTGATTTGTAATTTTACAGACAGTCTGTAATGTACTGGAAGACACAATATTATACATTGGGTGTCATTCCCCTTTAAAAAAGGATTGAACTTATGTAACCACTGTCTCCTTGTTGTATTTAATTTTTAAATATAAATGTTAACAGACAGTAAAGCTGCAACATAACCTCTGAAATTAAAAAGGCCTTCTTATAAATTGTGTCCACAGCTCGTTGATTGAAAGTAACACCAACCAGGACAGTAACGACTGGAAGGTAGGAAACATCTCACAGCTATTGCTGACATGAACTGAACATTTAAGAATATTATTTTTATTTTTATTATCATTACTGGCAGACATGTAGACATATGATTATTTTGCTCAGTGCCACCATTGTCCTGAATTTGTTCACATTGCAGTAAATAAAAAAATTTGACTGCTCACTTCTGATTAACAGGAGTGATATGATCAGATTTTGGTGTATCTTGCTGCCTAAATACGAAACATGGGAATGAATAACTTCCCTGGATTGTCCCTAGTAGCCGCTATTAATCCCCTGGCTGTAAATCACCTAATCTCTGATTGTGTCGGCTGTGGTTACTGGGAAGCTACTGAGTCTGACTATTGTGCTCATTCTGGCCCCGCTCCTATGGTAGTAGTGTAAACAAACCTCTCCTACGTAAAGCTCCAGGTACAGTTATCTAATAGGACCTCTAACTAGCTAGTGGCAGCAGCTAGTACATAAGGCTACCAGAACAAGTATGAATGGTTATATGAATAAATGGTTATATTTAACACACTTTATAATGATGATTTTGGGTGAATGGCTGAGCTTTTATTTTTTATTGATCAGATTGGCCTAGGTTTAGAGAAGTATGGGGCATCAGTTGGCGTGGAGGTGGGAGGAACACGCTCCACTGCCTATAAGTTTGCATCAGAGAAGACCAAAGAGGACCAGTACTCCTTCAGCACTCACAGACTCACCTGCAGCCATTATCGGTAGGGTGTGAAGATCTCTGAAGAACTCCACAGAAGATTTTACATTCAAGTTTGTTTAGATACTTTCTGTTAGGAACTATTCTGTCTCTTTGTGTCTAGTTACCGTGTGTCAAGCAAACCACCCCTCAGCTGTGAGTTTGGTAAGGTTGTGGCCAGCCTGCCAATTCTCTACAACAACTCCACCAGGGCTCAGTACAGTCGGCTCATAGATACCTATGGCACACACTACATCCGCCAGGTTAAAACACACACACACACACACACACACTTACACACCTTAATTACCTTTAACAAATAAAAAACAGCATATATTTTCTGTCTCAACAACATTGTTCTTCATTTCCAGGTTGACCTTGGGGGGCGAATCAGGCGGGTCACAGCTGCACGTACCTGTTTGTCCTCACTGAATGGGTTCACCTCAAATGAGGTACATGTAACACACATCACTTACCACAATGCATTAATACTCACACTCCGCATGATGACTTTCAGATTAAGATTTACAATCTTTATCTGAAATTGAATCTTACAATTTAAATAAGTATTCTTTAGAAGGAAAAACTCTCTGTGTCATTAGAGGCCATCTTCATAGCCTTTTATGAATTAGGATTGGATACTGAGAGTGAAGTTATTTATATATAAATATATCCTGTCCATACAGCAATTAAAGTCCAGCAAACATTTTGACATATTCAGGTCCGAGTTGTAGGAGAAGTTTGAAGAATTTTGGGGTAGTAAGGAGCCTTCCCGCTACGCTGCCGTCTTCTTCAAGATAACATGAGCACCCCACCGTGTGTGACACATTGTAATGTACCATTCACTGCTCTCAGCATAAAGGCACCTTCACTAACAAGGACCACACAACAACAATATTCAATTTAACGGTTTAATTGAATTTCAGGGGGTTTTATGTTAAGAATAGATTAATTGGTGTGGATATGGAGGGGAGATGGTGGAAGAAGTTGTCATCTGTTAGGTTGGTCTAGGAGGACGTGTTTCCACCAAATTGCTTACAGGCCCCCAGACAGTACCTAGAATGAGATGTGGGAGAGGAATGCACAGATTGAATGAAAAGGGATGAGGGGAAGAGAGGATTAAGGGATGTGGGTAGGAATAAAGTAAATGGATGAAGGGAAGGGAAAAGGAGGGTGGGTCGAGAAAACTGAGACCAGGCACCTTTCCAGGTAATTAAAAGTGAGGTTGAGGTTTGGCCCTGCTCCTGAACCTAAGTAGATCAACTTCATATTTAAAAGTTATAGATTACGCATTGACTATGAATTGACTGTCTTCCAGGTCCACGACTGCTTATCATTGGGTTTCTCTGTAGGCCTGGGGATTGTGAAAGTATCTCCTAAGATTGGGACTTGCAACAAAGTCATACAGAACAAGGGTTCCACTACCTTTTCCAGCTCTGGTCTACACCAACACTACACAGAGGTGACAGGAGGCACCGGTTGGTTGGGGGAGTTTTTATTCTCTCAAAATGACTCCACTCGTTACAGGAAATGGCTGAATACCCTTAAGGACCACCCGGATATTGTTTCATACTCCCTTAGGCCAATGTATGAGCTGGTGCCAGATGAGAAGAAGAAGGCAGGTGTGAAGGCTGCCATAGAGCAATACTTAAAAGACAATGCCGTGAAGAAGTCATCACCAGGTTGTGGGTCCAACTGCTGTCCTAAACAGGCCTGGAGGGGAACACTGGTGGTGACCATCATCAGAGGCTGGAATCTGAAAGGAGATATAACTGGCATAACTGAGAGGTGAGTAAAGTGAGGCCCAGCATTGAGATCTAAAGGTGGTCTACCAAACAACAATATTAATTCACCAGTTGTTTTTCCTTGTTTTCTACTATTCACAGCTATGCTAAGATAAGGCACGGTTCCCAATCTTATGAGACTCGTATGATCGAGTCAAACTACCCCCAGTGGAACGCCCATTATAATCTGGGCAAGGTCAGTAAATCTTCTCATTTCAAAAAGTTATAAAAAGGGTGATTAAATTTTTTTTTTCAAGCACCCCAAAATGACAAGGACCCAAAAGGGAGTGAGAGTGTCTTTCATACGAATGGATGGGGCGCTATCTTTGAAATTAGTATCTTGTTATACATCCATGGTCTTAACAGTGCTGAGTGCTGAGCGAAGGGAGAGAACAGGAGAGTCTGAAATGGAGGAAGCTATTAACTGTGTTAATTTTATATAACCCCTGAGTGGTCCTATCCACTGATACATTTTGTCCTTAGATATATTAATAGATCTGAGAAAGTACAAGTGTGTACAAACATGTCATGAACATGTCATGAACTATAAGTTATTTTTACTTATAGAACTCAACATTTGAATGATAATAATATTTTCAATGTTGTCATATTTATAAATATTTTTTATGAAGGTGGACACACATTTGCATTTGACGATTGAGGTCTGGGACAAGGACTTTAAGAATGATGACCGTCTGGGATCCTGTATGAAGCAACTGAGCCAGGGGACACACAAAATCACCTGTCCAGCCAAAAAAGGCGGCATTGAAGTCAAGTACACTCTGACCTGCGACTCTTATCTGACTGGAGACAAGTGCAACCGTTACAAACCAACTCCATAGTGAGAAATGCTGCTTGCTTTTCTTTGAAATCAAACTGAAATCACATTTAATAATCCCTTTTTGTCAAAATTAATGTCAGTGGGGAAATGCTCTTTTTTGTCTCAGCTGGGTGGAAGAGGCGTGTATGTGTTTGAGTTTAATTGACAGCAGCTGGCAGCCTACCAGAGTGTAAAGAACATTAAACCCTTATAAAACAAGGAGAGATGTGATGTACCAGGTTTTAAGCAAATTGTTATTTTCAACCTGTAGTCACTGGGCAAGAAAGTAAAATAATAAAATTATAAGAACATGACACATGTGTGTATGCAATAATGTGGTAAACCTCTGTAGCAAAAAGAAGTTTTGAAAAAAAAATAGATTTTGGTTGGACTTGGAAGTGTATGTCAGATTTGTTGATTCTTGTAGTGGTACTGGTACACTGACACAAGACACTGTAATAAGTAAAATACTTGAGGAGTTCATACAAACATCTTCCTTCCATTAAAACATTAAGACACACAATATTTAGTTTTCTTTACATTTTTTAATGTTTAATCAATTCTTCTGTGACCACATACATATAGGGTAAATTCACATTAAAGCGAAATTATCATTTTGTTTGGTTTTCAGCTGATTGTAATTCTAAAATATAGTCTTGTGAGCACAAACATTTTGATGTAAACATGAATAACAATCAGCTGCTGTGTACTCAATTTGTGGATTTTGGTTGTGGGACGGTTTTCATTTGGACTGCAGATTATGTATCTGGTGATTTAAAAAAAACTTTCAAATACTTGTTTTGTCCATTTTTGAGTGATCTTCTCATGCAAATAAAGACTATCAAGACCATTTTTTTCATGTCATTAAAATGAAAGTAAATGTGTTTTTTTTAATATGTTCTCAAGACCATGTAAATCAGTGGTCCCCAAAATGTTTACTTAAAGGACCACTCTCCTCTCATTTTATAAACCGATGACTTATTTTATGCATATTTCACATTATATTCAATGTATAACAAGAACAGTACAGAACAACTGATACAACTGTACAATGAACCCAGATAGTGAACACGATAACTGCAGGAAGTTTGTGTAAAAAAAGCGATTTGGATGAATTTTGAGCAGATTATTTCCTTTATTTAATATTGCATCAGAGATTAATATTCCTGATAGTCTCTGTATAAAAATAAAAACAATCATATATACTTATTATGCTTCTTTTTGACAAATTCAGTGTTTTCATTTCATTGTTCTATTAGTCCTTCGGTTGCTTTAAAGGACAATTCCGGCGC